GAGTATAGATCTCAGCTGCTGGATCTGAAGCCCAAACTGTGCTTTTTCAGTTAAACAATCTCCATTCCCAATATGTCCATAACAGGTTTTTCTGTAAATATAGTACCCCATTTAACAGTCCTTGTTTTTAATGCATTTGCAATGTACTTATTTACTAGTCAATACATCATTAAATATTAATGAAAGTGCATAATTCAAATGTTAGCATGGCTCAAGTGTTCATGGACTTTTTTGAATAGTGGCAGTTATGGTGACGTGCCATTTCATGCTTCCACATGGGGCCTGAAGAGCAGAAAGCCTACCTCCATCCTCCACTTTTCTTACCGCCAGTGGCAATGAAGTGAAAGCCAGAAGAGTCAGACCTGCATGTGTTTGCTAATTTTTTTTTTTAAACAATGGTCTGTTTGAGGACTGTCATTAGAAATCTACACTTTCAGAAACTTAACAAGTTTAAAGAATCATTTTGTACCTCGATCACATTTCTTGCACCAAACACCATGTCTCATGGCAGACTATGCTGTCCATCCTGCAATGGTCTTATCCTGCTTACAAATAGCTACAGGTGATGCCTGGAGGGAAGCTCCTTTTCAGATTGATAACTGGTCATTCATTCTCCTTTAGAATACAGAATTCTAGGGCCACATCTCAAATTGCATTATTTAGAATAGTCTGAGAATTGTTCTGATCCTGAGGAAGCAGTAATGGTAACCTAAAGTCTAAGTAGTAATTCTTTGCTAAAGCCTCTCAAGCAGACAATCCACACCATTCTGGCAACAGTAAAGGCATCAAAAGGGATAGAGAAAATGCCAATAGCACTAACCTGCAAAAGGGATAGAGAAACTGCTGAGCTACAGTTCATCTTTAAGTTTGACACAATCAACTCTGGATTAAACAAAGACTGTGAATGGCTTGCTAACTACAAAAGCAGCTTCTGCTCTCTTGGAATTCACACCTCCAGATCAGCTGCTAGAAGTGGGCCTCATCCTCCTTGATTGGATCCACCTCGTCATCTCCAGCCTGATCCTGGCCTGCATATTTATTCCTGCCTCTGGAAATTTCCACTACATGCATCTGACGAAGTGGGTCTTTGCCCACGAAAGCTTATGCTCCTACACTTCAGTTAGTCTATAAGGTGTCACAGGACTCCTCGTCGCTTTTGCAGATTCAGACTAACACGGCTACCCCTCTGATACATAGCACTAACCTGTTACTGATCCTGGTACTGACAGACCTGGAACTTGAGTCCCCAACTCTTATATTCAGAGCACTGAGGCTGAAGCAGAAGCACAGCTCCAAAAACCACTGAAGGACCTCTCACAAGGAAGGTCCAAAGTCAGTCTTCCATAAACAATATACAAGCCTTCTACTGCTACAAGGGCATACCTAGCCATCAGTCAAGCTTACAAAAGGAAGGAATGGCCAGTGCCAGCAATGCCATCTGCCTTACAAGCAGCCATGCAGAGGACTGAACTTATCACTGTCCTGAGCTACATACGATGTTCCATGTGATACCTCATCCACAGCAAGATCACTGTCAGCAGGGGTCACGGGCCACCACCATTTGACAAAATACTCTTAAGTCACCTTTACTGAGTTTTTTGCCAGCATTGATGAGGGACTCATTTCCCCTGCCATTGTGAGGGAATCCTTGTTCAATCACAAGCAAAATGTAAGTCACAGCAGGCTAGCTAACCTCAACCCAGTCAGTGCCCATAGATGTGGTCTCTACCATGGCCAGTATCACACCTTTATGTCAGTTTCTCTGACCTTTGTGTCAGAGGTGATAAGAGAGGACTGAAAGGTACATCCTGGGTCAGAGCCACCCAGGCCCCTGCTGTTAAAGGGAATCATCCCATTAATAAATGTATTAATGTAAATCTTAAAGTTAGTGAGGTTGTTTTCCCCTGCTATTTCTGTTGAATAGCTGTACTGGAATTTCACACCTTTTCTAATGAGCAACCCTCTGACTTTTCAAGCCTACTGCCTGCAGTTTTAGTCAGAACTCCCATGCTAGAAGCAGGTGGCAGTCTCAGAACAGTGGCACCCATTGAAAGACTCATCTTTGCCAGTTGAGGCAGGAATAAGAGCCCCAGTACTGTCAGAAGACTGTTTCAGAACACTGCATGATTTTTTTTTTAACCTTAGGACATCAACCTGAGAGAGCCAAGAAAAATCCGTTTTTTTTTTAACCTTAGGACATCCAACTTGAGAGAGCCAGGAAAAATCCAGTAAGTCACTCCAACTCTTTCACAGAGATGAACTTCCCAGTCTAGCAGAACCACTTACATGCTAACATGTTTCTTCTATATCACTGACCCAGAAAATTAAGACATATTTAATAGTAACTAAGTTAAAAGACAGTTTTTTTAAAAAGTGACAATGCTAACATGTTTCTTCTATATCACTGCCCCAGAAAATTAAGACATTTAATAGTAACTAAGTTAAGACAGTTTTTTAAAAAGTGACTTCTATAACAAGTGGGTACAATTTTTCAGGATAGATGATTTTGTAACTGCCAGCACTGGGAATTTATTCTGGGATTTTGCAATCAAACAGGATCGCCAGTAATAAAAGGTTGTTCCATGCCACAAGTTATACTCTCAACAGGATCGCCAGTAATAAAAGGTTGTTCCATGTTGCAAGTTATACTCTCAGGAATGGACATGCCTGGGTTGTGGGATGTAACTGACTAAAATATAAGAAAAAAGTTGTATTATCCATATCAATATACCGGAGAGCATGATTCATTCGGCCTATAAGAAAAACAGGAGAAAAAACTTATTTAATGCTTATTTAAGCAGATGATGCCCTGCTTCTGCACAAGGAACAGATCAGTGAACTAATGGGATGCTTCAATTGCATAGAAGTCAATTTTTGGCCGCACGTTAAGTTCCTAAGCTGAGATGTCTCTTCTTAGTGCTGTGGAGCGCAAACAGCTTTAAGTAACCTGTTGCTGAATATCATCAAGATTTTAGAAGACCAGGTGAAGGGAAAAAACACAGAGACATTAAGTATGCAGGAAGTTTATTTCCTACCTTAAAATCTACAGTAGTTCTAGTGACAGAGACTTACTAGCAGAAAATCTAGATATTTATATTAACTTAGAATTATAAGATCACATTAGAGATTAAGTACCACTCAGAACCAAAGGAATGTAATGAGACTGAAGTTCTTTAATATTTAGCATGTTATGAAATGGGTTTTAGTGAAACAAAAATGGAATGCTAATTTCATAAAAATATACACATACATATAAAAGTTGTTCCTTGCATTTGAATTAGAGAAAAAAACCCAAAAGTAGTGCTTCTAGAACTTTCAAGTTTCTCTGATTTACATTTAAAGTGTTTATCGTTGGATTTGTTAACTTTACAAATTATGTATTTATATTGAACATGTTTAGCTGACACCTTTCTAAAGAGAAGATGCCACTAATTCAAGTCACTCACTGAATGGAAGCGCCCCTTTGCCCCCCCAGTAAAGCAGCAGAATATTACATTTTAACATTAGAGTGGAACCAACTTATATTTGAGCTATTACTCCTTTTCTTATTTTTAGAATAAGTTTGTCAGAACTTTAGTAGCAAAAATACTCTAAGTCAACAGCAAGATGAACTGGGTTTGGGCTTCCGGTGAAGATGTACTGCATCTGTCTGAATTAAGTGATCTGATCTATCTTCAGTAGCAAGAACTCGTCGAACAGCTTCCTCAAAGGCTGCTGCAACATTAGTGGCATCTTTTGCACTAGTTTCAAAATAGGGATGGTTGCCGTTGTTCCTGCACCAGGTCTGGGCTTCTTCTGTAGACACTTGCCTTTCATTTATGTCAACTTTGTTACCCAATATCACAAAAGGAAAACTTTCAGGCTCTTTGACATCTGCATAGTAAATGAATTCTTTTTTCCAGTTACCCAAGTTTTGGAAGCTTTGAGAGTCATCTACACTGAATGTTAGAAGGCAACAGTCAGAACCTCTATAGAAAGGAGTCCGTAAGCTCCTAAACCGTTCTTGACCTGCAGTGTCCCATATCTGCATTGTGACAAAGTGTCCATCCACTTCCAAATCTTTATTTAAGAACTCCACGCCTATCGTGTGGAACAACTGCGTATCAAACTTGTTAGTGACATATCTGTTCATAAGTGAACTTTTCCCGACTCCACCATCACCTAGGAGTATTACTTTAAGGAGCGATGATTTTGTTGCCATTGTTATGAAAATAGATCCTCCTGTTTTCTGAATCCTGTAACATAAGAGAGATCTTGTTTAGAACAAACATTTTTTCCTTATGATTCCTTAGACAACTTATTTTGTTAAATATTGAATTTCTTACACGCTCATGCATTTCTGATAAATAAAATAATAGTTACTAAGGATTTCAGTTGCTCACTAAATCCTACATACTAAACTAAAGGAATTTACTAAATAGATTTATAATTTTAAAAAATGTCTACAAGTAGCATACTTCCCACTGGATCTCAAACAGGGATGTTGACACGTGAGGCAATATCTTTTAATATCCTGATCAAACTTAATTAAATAAAGTTAATTAATTAACTTCATTTAATCTTACTAAGTTAAAATATTTTAGCAGCTCATATTGGCAATGAAAGTGTTATGTGTTATTGTGGGACTGTATATAACTTGCCTAGGAGACATGACTAATATAAACCTTGGGAAGTGTTATGAATTTCAAAGGACTCTTGAACAATGAGCTAAGATTAAACTGTCAGGGAGCTTCCTTGGAAAAATATCTATGAGGAGGACTTGATCTTTAGGTTTACCCTGAGGAGGAGCTCTTTCTCTGCAAACTATCTATTTCCAGGATCAAAAGGCCCAAACAGCACAGGAAGGTGATTCAAGGTGTTCTTGTACTGAGCAAAAGAAGTTATGAACTTGAAAATATGTGGGGCTTGACGTGCTGTTCACTTGCCCAAGCTCTTCTTGGAGCCAGGGTGATCTCCAGTAAGCTCATTTGCACATGTTCAGGTTCTTTTATTGTTTTCTCTGTAGTACTTGTACTTTCAGAATAAATGGGCATGGGCTTGCCACAGATTACTGTAACAGTCTGCCATCTCTGAAAAGAAAAAAAGGCAGGCTTACTTACACATTCTGACTTTGAGGAATGTACAAGTTTAGACAGAAGATGTGCAGTCTGGAAATTCTCAAGGAAGGTGATGGCTAAAGCCAGAAGTCTAAGTAAGGGTGATTGCCCTCTCTGGACCATGGGGAGAGAATATAGGTGCCATTGCTCTGAACTTTGACAAGGTTATCGAGTGTTCTTCAACCTATAATCAACTATAATCTGTGTGGTTGTATGAATTAGCACACTGATTAGTCACTTCTAGACACAAGAGTTCAAACTAGGGATGTAAGCGAGTAGTCGACTACTCCCGTTCTCCCCCACTCTTGCTGCCTTTGTATCAGAGGCAGAGGGGCGGGGGTAGGGCGAAGAACAGGAGCCAGTGCTAGGAGGAGCTGGCTTAAAAGGCAAATGGGTGGGGGAGGTAAGGGAGGCTGCTCCGTGTCCCACAGAACTGCCCCTTTCCATGGGGGATCCCAGCTCTTGGCTGGGCCCCCCTGTGAGCTGGGACTGAGCAAGCCTGGCTGAGTCCCATCTCGCATCAGGTCCAGCAGCTACCCCCACCACAGCTCTGCATTTTAAACATAGTAAGAGCTGCTCTACTACATTTAAACTGCAGAGCCACAGCAGGGGTAGCACCTGGACCCGGCACAAGCAGGAACTGAGCACCTTCCCTTAACTAATCATGCAGTCAATACAAACTGTATTGACTACACAATTAGCCTCCTCTTCATCGGCGCAAGCAGGAACTGAGCACCTTCCCTTAACTAATCATGCACAATTAGCCTCCTCTTCACATCCTTCATTCAAACCCACCTTGTTTCACTCAGTGGATATGTTTGAATGTGTTTTCCCAGGAACTAGTGGAAATCAGGGATGTGAAATCCGGTTAAATGTTTGGTCAACCAAATGTTTAATCAATTAACCAACTAAGCGGAGATCTCACCACTCCAGTCCCCACACTGGAGCTGAGGGCTGGCTCTGCCAACTCCCAGCTCCAGCTGTGCAGGGTGGCCAGCTAGGACTGAAGCAACCCTCCACCCACAACAGGCTGCAGGTGGGGAGCTGCTCCTGGGGAATAGGTAACTGTTACCTGGTAAACATCACACAGTAAGGGTGCTATCAGTTACTCTTTCACATCTCGAGTGGAAACCTGTCCACTTTACAAAATCATGACAGTTAGTTTGTAAGACAGGTGTCAACTTGGTCTAACAAAGACCATAATATGCAATAATTCATACTTTACATTCATTAGATAAAGCCATGCATTTGGGAAGTTTCTGCCTTCATCATCATCTAGCCACTTTTAATTCCTCATTCCACCAAAATTCATTTATCTTATATTAATTTGCCAAGCCCATATAGCCATATTGGTCTCTGGATATTAGAGTGACAAAATAGGTTATTCATCTTTGGGCCACACTATTTAAAGTTAGGCAATGGTGAAGTGGTACCCTCCTGGACATATGTACAAGGCTGGAATACATTTTTAAAATGTCATTAAAAAATAGTAGTAAAGTGGACAATTTTTTTCACAGAGTTTTAAATCTTGGTAAATATGATCTTGCAAAGATGTTAAGCAATACATAACTACACACAAAGCCTAATGAAGTTTATAAAACTACTCATATGTGACTTCATGCTAAGTCTTTGTAGGATTATAGCTATATTTTCTAGTTATAAGCCAATTTAGCTATAGCTTGTGCCAGGATTCAGTATCTCCCACTTTTTTAAAAATTACAAGTTACATTATCAATAGAGCCCTGCAAATCTGCAGATGCAGATATCTGCAGCTCATTTTTGTGGATACAGATGATCAGTTAATTAGACTTTACAGTAACAGCACCTTCAACAAATGCATCAGTGAAAAATCTGTTTTCAAGTCACTTAATTAGTGCCTATATTTATTGTAACTGTGTTTGAAAGAGGAAATCAAACACTCCCTAAGAATTGTTTTTAAGCACAGCAGCAAAAATTCATGATTTTTTTAAAGTCATGTCTTCCCATTTTATAGTTTTGAATTGCTAAAGTGGATGATTTGTATTTCTTCTTTAGTTTCCCAGATTTTACATAGATATTTTTCTCTAGCTTAGAATCATAGAACCATAGAGCTGGAAGAGACCTCAGGAGGTCATCAAGTCCAGCCCTCTGCTCTAGGCAGGACCAATCCCAACTAAATCAACCTGGCCAGGGCTTTGTCAAGCCGAGACTTACACACCTCTAGGGATGGAGACTCCACTACTTCCTTAGGTAACCCATTCCAGTGCTTCACTACCCTCCTAGTGAAATAGTTTTTCCTAATATCCAACCTGGACCTCTCCCACCACAACTTGAGACCATTGCTCCTTGTTCTGCCATCCGTCACTACTGAGAACAGTCTTTCTCCATCCT